CCAGAAGTATCACTAGTGCCCTGTATGAATCAGCAAAGTACAGTCATGCAGCCTGCACAAATGTCCATGTCATACATTTCACTTAAATAGAATTCCGAGGCACAGCAATGTGTAACTATTTAAAGAACTCGTGAGCCACGCACAATGCAGACACCACCAAAGGACATCTAACCAGCCCAGCTTGCTGGAGAATCACAGTCATTAACATAAAAACGTAGTAAGATTTGATAAATCTATACACAAAAATACAGACGTTGCATTTTTGGACTGCAAAATTCAGTGTTAGTCAAACACCTGTGTAACAATACAACATACAGTGACATGTCATTAGAGACTTTGTCCTGCAGGAAAAGCCCCCACAGAATATGCAGAAAGAGGGAATTCCTGGAGGAGAGTTTTAATGGGTTTGAACTGCAGCAACCATCTCCAGCAGGTCCTGTGCTGACCAGTATTACACAGCCAGGGATTTGGCATTTTCCAAGCAGGGATATTCAGCACCAAGAGACAAATAAATAGTTTACCACTTTTCAGTAGTTATAACCTGACATTTTATTTCACTACCATAGCGGGATCTCCTTATAGATGTGTCTGGCTGTCTGTTTTCAGGCAAAGTGAATAAATTTCATCCATAAAATCCAAATTCCTCTACAGAATCAGACTAAGAGGTCAAGGCAGCAGGTCTGGCATAGGCAGTGGGCAGCAAAGGCAAACTGCACTGCCTGCAGAACAGAAAGCCAAAAAAGTGACTTGCCAATGATAGTTCTGTCTTTTACAAATCACCTGGATAGATTAATGATAAAACATCTACTGAAGTAGATAATCATAAGTGATTTTTATTCCGAGGGACATTTTCAAATAGAATCTATAATATGAGAAACAAAGGATTTCAGGGAAAAAAGGTACCTGCTGGTGACAGAGTAATGCTGTTATAGACCTCAGCCTAATCCTTCACCAAGGTACATGAGACACAAATCACTTTACAGTGGCATTAAATTAAAAGATGCAGATTAGTTTAAAAGTAGCTACGTGGTTTGTTAGGCAAATGTGTTCCCTGCCCAAATAATTTATTATTCTTAAAATATACACATGAATATAAATGTCACACAAACATCTGTAGCAGACCATTTCTATCTTCTCTGGGTCTAAGGAAAGCAGAATATAAAAATCCTGAGCCCAAATACATAATTTTGACAGAAAAACGTAACCCTAACAGAAGAATGATTAATGGCCACACAGGAATTTTCCTTCCAATACAAAACTTCTGCTATTTTTGATAACCTGGAGCACATACTGAAACAGTTTGCAAACCACACACTATTCCAGCCAGTCCCTGATCATGGTTTAAATGTTCCCTTCTTGTGGCACTGCTGGTAATACAGATTTTTGGTTTACAGTGGGGGTTTGCTAGATAACTATATTTTATTTCATCAGAAATGCTCCTCTACCTCTTGACCTTATATTTAAAGATTAGAAAATAAAGTCAGAATTCTATACAAAAAAGGAGACATGTTGACTCATTCCATACATCTGTCCTGAGACTAAAGTTGAAAAAAAAAAAAAAAAGCCCTTTATTTGTCTTATTATTAGAAGCATGAATTATCCAAGCAGAGGTGCTGAGAGAGAAAAATTCAACCAGCTTGTATAACCAGCTGTAGATAAAATCGCAAACATAACCTCAAAACACTTTCTTACTCTCAAAAAAACTGTAGAAAACAGCATTAAATGAGTCAAGAATTACTTCTCACAACTATTCTACTTGGAAATGAAAATAACTGACTGAAAGAGGAAATCAAACTGTACTATTTGTGACTGTCTCTGCTCAGATCAATTTTCCCTGAAAACAGTCAGAGGACTTCTTAAGTGATCATTACTGTGGCAAAGACGTCCTTCACCACGAGTGAGCTGGGGAAGCCTCCAGCCTCACTTCCTGATCTTAGTTCGTATCTTGATATAAGAGAACAAGCATAAAGAAAAGCACTGGAATCTAAAGTTATTTTCCTGCCCAGACAAGTCTTTGAGTAAACACATTCCCCTGATCTTTAAAGATTCTCAACTCAGATCAAACTGCCTGGGGAAGACCCGAAGTGTTCTGCCCCTCCTCGTACAGAACACAGGGGGTATCACATGAAGGTCTCAGGTAACAGGTTCCAAAAAGAGCAGAGGAATGACTTATTCACACAAGACTGGAAGGGTAGTGCTTATTGATAGAAAACATGGGAACTGCAGAAACCATACATGGGCTCAGAAGGTTTTATAAATTAAGTATATCCATGAAACAAAAATACATACAAAGCATCATCCCCACTGAAAGCCTGGCAGAGCTGTCCTAAGGAGTAGCCCTATATGCCTGCCTAGGAAAGAGGGTAAGAATAAAGCACCTGCAGTCAAATATTGCTTAGCTGTGGCAGACAAGCAGGGCTTGCAACAATGGTCCTGTCACACACCAGGATCTCAGAGCTTTGGACTTCAAGAGAAGACAGCAGATCAAACCCACATGGCTGTTCCTGTGAAGAACGGTCTTCGGGTTGCCCCCCATCAAAAAACCCTTAACACACACCACAAACAGAAAGAAACTACAACTACTGCTCCAGCCAGTACCTTCTCCAAGAGAGAGATGAAACAGTGGTTTGAGACTGTGATACTATCCATAAAATATTTAGCCCTCTAATCATGCCAGAGAAGATAATTTGCTTCCCTACCTTTCGCAGCCTTTTTTAAAAGACATCCAAAGAAACCAAGATGGACTACAGAAAGATCTTTTCCATCATCACTGTAATTAAAGAAGGTTGACCATTTCATTCAAATGACAAAAGGTTTCTAATGAGTTGTAAATGACAACTAATACAAAGCCAGAGAAAGTAACACATAATTTCAGGGAAAAAAAGGTGCAGTGTTTAAGTAGCTCAAATATGTATTAAGATATTGAGGGGAAAAAAAAAACAGAACAACAATGCCACAACCCTTTTTTGCCATCTGAAAACTGAAAATACTTCAAGTCACTGTCAGTCACACAGCTCTCCACTCCAGAACACAGTTATGAAGAGCACACCACTAAACACCACTCAGTGGTAGAGAACATTAAATGCACAGGCAGAGAACAGCAGTACCTGGAACATATCTCACAGTCTGCTAATCTACAGTGCACGTGGACTTTTGAAAGGTATTCAGAAAAACCCTGCCACTCTCCTCTAACCCAGCAACGCAAGCAGGAATGCCAACAAACCATAACTAGCATGGCTGGATCCAAGCTCACATAACTTTATCCTAGAACACTTGATCTTCTCAGTAATTATCACCACCATGAATGATAATAAAAAAACCAAAACAAACAAAACCAACTGAATAAACCACAAGAAGTACTGATTAGTTGTACATGGAATCCCAATGACCTTCTCATCCTAAAGGACATTCAGGTTTTTGGGTTTGTTTGTTTTTACACAAAATGAAAATTTCTTTTCTTTCTGTTATTTCCTTGTGCATACTATTGATTTCTTCAGACTAGCACTGTAATTATGGTGCAGCTTCCTTCTCAAAACAGGTTGTAGCAAGACTGTAGGCCCTTTTAAATTATGCAGACTCACTTCGTGAAGATGCAGCTTCAAAAAGCTTACTATGTTCTTAAAACATCACATCCCTCATACATGCAGTCTTATTTTGAAAAGACTATAGTCCATGCTGAAAGAAAAGGAAATTTAGGAAGCAAAATACAGTTGAGCAGATCTATCAATTGCACATAGCTTTAGCTATCAAGTCTTTATATACTTGAGAGGGTGGGGGGAGAGGCAGGAACAGCTACCCAAAACCTTGTTAAACCTTGAAAGAGATGGTACTTGAAGACAAATGGTGCCAATTGCAGTCCCCTGCTACAATTCTGTTCATCTGCAACATATTACACAAAGCCAGTGCTCTGAGATCAGAACTGAACATCCAGGCTGACAGACTCAGCAATAGCAGTATTCTTTTGTGGATAAATAAACCAGTCCTGCTTCCAAGCACCTCGAAATAAATCCCCAAAACAAATAAATAAAAAGCACCAAACATAAACAAAACCAGGACTTTGTACTTTTCCCTCAAAAAACAAAACCAATCTATCTGGTATCTGACATGCCTATGGGTCAGTGAAAAAAAAAAATTTCTGAGGAAAATATCAACATTCCTCAGCACTGCTGGACTTTGAACACGTACACATTAACTTTCAGCCACAACAGGAAAAGAGAAATACTTTGCAGGCATCTGACAGAATTTCATTCTCTGTAAGATAAAGATTCGGGCACCTCACAAATAAAGAGCCCTCCTACAATTCCACCCCCCCCCCCCCCGGACATTACAGAAAAACAAATGTGTCTCTGCTCACCCTGAGAAGAGACTGCTCTGAATGAATCTTCCAGACCTTACCTCACAGTGAAAAACATTCAATGCTGAAACCAGACTGAGGCAGTCTGGATTAAACAGATGGCACTCTATTTAGAACAGTTTCACTGTTAATAACATGATAATGCCATTCCTCCTGGAACTCTTCTCATGCCCTTCCAATATCCCTATTAAAAAAACCCTGAAAGCCGGAGGTAGTTTTACATTTTTACATTTTTAAAAAAGGTACTATAGTCTGTCCCAAAACTCTGCCAGCATCATGCTATAGTCAGTGTTTATTCTCATTTTTGTAAGAGTATCAGAAATTACCAAAATGAAGTTTGTATTCTATTAACAAAACCCAGCATTATTGTATCATATACGATGGAGAAATAATTTAAGTCTTTATAAGTCACTGGCTGTGTAGTTATCTTTTACCAGTCTCTTTTCAGACAAAGGGGACTATGCACTTAAGCTTGATGAACGCAAAACATAATTTTAATTAACCACATACGAAGGCAATTGACACTTCACAGTCACACAGCCGCGGCATGCAAAACGCCGAGCCCCCCGGAGACGAGTGCTCGGCGACACGAGTAACCATCTCACTCAAGAACCGGCTGTCAAGAGAAGTCTTAACTTCCACTTACGTTTCAGTGCACTTCCAGGATTTCAGGATGCCTCCCCGCTTCTCCTACGGAAACAAACAGCAGCGCTCCTTTAAGACATACCCCTTGCAAACCAAGAGCCAGCTCCTGGAGCCAGCCGGGCTTGTGAGCACCTCCGCTTCCCCGCACGGCTTCTCCTGCCGCCGGGGCGCCCCCGAGGGCGGGCACAGAGCGGGCACTGCCCGGGGCCCGCCACCGCTCCCGGGGCAGGGCGGGGAACGGCGCTCACACAGCACGGGCCGAAGGCAGAGAGCGGGGGGACAGCGAGCGGGGATGGCAGCAGGGGCGGCGCTGACGGGAGCGCAGGGAACGGTTCGCGCCCCCGCACGCACAGACCCTGCGGGGCTTCCGTCCGTGCCCGCACCGCCGGCGGCGACCGCGTCCGGCGGGCAGCCAGCGAAGGGCGCGGACCCCGCAGTGCCAGTGCCAGTGCCAGTGCCAGTGCCAGTGCCAGTGCCAGTGCCAGTGCCAGCGCCAGCCCAGCCCAGCCCAGCCCAGCCCTTCGCCCCCCGCCTGGTGCCGGCACCGCCGCCGCCACCCCCCTCACCCCGCTCCGCTCCGCCGCCGCCGCCAGCCCCGCACCTCAGCAACGCGCCCGCCCATTGGGCCACGCCCCCCCGCAACAAGCGCCGCACCGATTGGCCTCTCTCCCGTCCGCGTCTCCTTCCCCCCAGCCCCTCGGCCCGAGCCGGTGGTCTCTGCCTGGCCAGGCCAGGCCAGGCCGGGGCGGGGCGAGGCGGGAGCGCTGCCGGTGGCAGCGGGGCGGGCGGCGGACACACGGCCCTCGCACCCGCCAGCGAGAAGGGCCGGAACGAAAGCGTCCCGGAACACGCGTGGCTGGCCGCGCTTCCCGTACCGGCTGGTTCTCTTCCTGCTTCCGGTTCCGGGTGGCGCCGCGTCCTGAGCAGGGTCGCGGAGCGGGCAGGTACCGGGCACGGGAATGGGAACGGGAATGGGCCTTGCGCGCCGGAAGGACCCGTGTGCTGGCAGGGCAGGGCAGGGCAGCGCAGGCGGGGCGGCTGTCGCTCCGGGCTGTGCCCTCCGTGCCCCGCGCGGGCCGCCCCTCGGGCACGGCCTGTAGCGGCCCTGCGGGCGGGGGCGCCTGGCCGGTGCCGCAGTGCAGCCCCCTGGTCGTGCCAGGGCATGACCTCCTTCTAGAGAGGTGAACATCGGTAGCAGAGTGATCTTGTTTTTTTTCTGGCAAGGCTGTAGCCTGGGGTTTAATTCGGGGGGATATTTTCGGATAGTGACAGCGGTAATGCTGTTCTCCGAGTTTCCCTCTGCAAGAAAACCCTTTTTGCTTGCCTCCACGGCCTGGAGTCTTCTTCAAGAGTTACAGGCACCTTCGTATTCCAGTCAGTTTTCCCAAAAGTTCAGGACATTAAATATGTTCTTTGCCACCTGGTATGTATTAAAATGGGAAACTTTGGCTCAAAGAAGTCTCAGGTGTTTTGTGAAAATGGAGACTTCAAAGCTGTCTTTATTTTCTTCCAGTCCTTCAGGATCTGCCTGAAAACGTTCACCTTCCCGTCTGCCTTGGTCACTGTTTTTAACGAGAAACTTCATATTTTTGTAGTTCTCTAAGGTGTATGTAAATAGAGTGTGTATTTTTCAGCCTCATCAAAGGACTGGTAAAGTGCATCTCCTTGTCCACTCGTTTCTCCAGTTGATCACGATGGTTACATTTCACTGACCTAGAGACAGCTGAAAAGGAGCTGAGCAGCCAAGCCTTTGTTCCCCTCAGGTTTTTCTTCAGAGCTTGGCTATCATAGCTCTGCCATACCGAGATTAGAGGCTTTCATCCTGAAGTATTTTTTATGTGTTCTGGAAAGCCTGTAAACGGGCCTTGGTGTTGCTGAAAAGGCATTTGTAGACATTGGAAGCCACTGGTTTGCTTACATTCTTCTCTGGCACAGAACATTGACACAGCCGCTCCAGGGGTGTTGTGGTGGGGGTGACTTACAGCACAGAAACACTGAGCTCTGTATGGTTTGCTTTACTGGGTATAATCACCCTCTTCTGAAACGCAGCTTGAAGTCTCTGAGCCCTTTGTTTTACAGAACAAAGCTCCTCGTTCTCCGTTCCTTTGTATTACCTCCCCGTTTCTCCTGTCCAGGGGATTGTTCTGTGCAGGTGTGTGAAGACAACAGGACGCTCTCTGCGAGGTAACAGACTCTCCCTTTGCTGCAGGGATGGGACACGGCAATGAACACGGCCACGGCCATGGCCACGGCAAAATGGAGCTCCCTGACTACAGGCAGTGGAAGATTGAGGGCACCCCGCTGGAGGAGGTCCAGAAAAGGCTGGCTAAGCGGGGTCTTAGGGATCCGTGGGCTCGGTAAGTGCAGCAGCCTCAAAAATAGCCTTGATCTGTCGTCTTGTAGCATCAACTGGACCTTGTTACTGCAGACCATTTTTTCTTTGGTAAAAACAGTGCAAATTGGTTAGAATTTCAGTGAGGTCTTTGTGGACTTTTTGTGTGGAGGTCACACCTTCCATCCCCCTGACCAGTCTCCATGCACTGCAAGGCAGCCTTGCCCTTTGGGATGTTTTGTGATGATACACCTCAGGCACCTCACCCCCGCAGTAATACTAGGCCTGCACATGCCAGTAAGCCTGTCCTTCTCTGCAAAGAGACTGTGCTCAGGTCCTGATGGAGGCAATGGAATTCAGCATTCCTCATACACAGCAGGAGGCCTTTCTTTGAAAAGAAGTGTACTTGTATACAGGGTGGAATTGCATCCAACTGTGCACTTCATTTGGCTAAAAGTGAATGACATAATGGAGAATCAGCTTTTACCTCTTAAGTTGTCCCACTCCACAGTGAGTATCTCCTCCTTTTTAGATAGAGCAATTCTGGATCATTTAGGCAGCTGTTAAAACAGGGCTTTAATGTATTTCTGCCTCCTAGAGAATTATGCAGTACTTCGCTCAACCACCCTTTCATCTTGGGAAATAAAAATGCTAAGTGTCTTGTGCTGTGTAGTCTGGTTCCTCTGTAAGGAAAAAGCTACATGAGCAAACTATTCCAGGAGCCCTCACAGAAAAGGCTTTACTTCAAATCACTACAAGAAAAATGGAAGAGCAAATAGGTAATCTGTTGAAAAGTTGTTTCATGCTACAACCTCTGGAGGGGTTTAGGATTGACAGCACTTTTTTTCTTCCTTTGAATCAGTTTAAAGCTGTGAGCATAAAGTAAAACATACTTTTAATGATGACAGTAATCTTTTGAAATACCAGTCCTTAATGAATTTTCCAGGTCTGTGTCACATTTATCTTGCCTCTATTTCTGTGGCTTTCCACCTTTACGGCAAATGCACATTAATGTACATATTCAGTACAGAATAGGCTTTGTGAAAAATGTCATATTTGGAAACTTTAAGTCTGTACCAATTAGACCCCATACTGGCATCTAGACAATACATTTCCGTGCCCAAATGTTTTCATCTCGAGTCACAAAATCCATCTGCACAAGGGGATTATCTGTGAACATAAATACCTGGCCCCCTTGTTTTAAAACCTTGTATCTTCTCCTGGAATGACAGTTCTGATTTTATTGCTTGGTTCTTTTTCCTTTTCTTAAGGACTTCTGAGTCCTTAGAAGAGATAAACTGCATTCATCTTTATAGGTAACAGTGCTCCTACTGCACATAAATGTTGGTAGTCAGCTACTGACTAACTGAAGAATGTATGCTGACAACAATAAGGCAAAACAGTGTGAAATTTGTAAATATTCTGTAGCTAAAGCTCAATACAATCTCTTCAGCCTTTTGTTTTTAATCATCTAAACCTAATAAGTGTTGTATTGTAAAACAGAAAGTGCCTCCACACTAGGATGAGTTTTCTGTATCTGGAGAAACTTTCCTTGTAAGATTTAACTGTGCTAGATACTGTCTACTATAGTTAGGAGCCTTTGTAGTTAGTCCATCCCATGCAAGGGCTAGTGGGTTCTGATTTTCTTTCACAGTAAAAACAGACGACAACAATTACAGAAATTTGGGGAAGTGGTTCTTTTCCTATAACTGTGATGTTTGCTGCAGTTACTTGTCTCTCAAATTACACATGTAAAGATTTAAGAGTTAATATCGTGAACCTGAAACTGTGGTAACTCCTGGTACTTAAATGACAGAACATTTTATAGAGGCTCAAAGTATTTCTAATTGAAATACCTTCAGCAAGCATTCTTTATGAACAAAGATATTCCTGTTCATGTTCAGTGGCTCCACTGATCTTGTTTTTTTCTTTCGGTTTCATTTTTCTTCTAGTAACGAAGCCTGGAGATATATGGGTGCCTTTGCAAAACCTGTCACCCTAACAGAAGTCTTAACTAAGGGACTCAAGTGGGGATTTGCAGCTTTTGTCATAGCTCTTGGCGTTGAATATACACTGTTTCCTCCAAAGAAAAGCGGAGGCCATCACTGAAGATCAAATATGACAACTTCATACTTACTAATTGTAAGCTGAAATACACACAAGCCTGTTGCTCACCCTGTACTTATAATATGCCTATTAAAGTCTATCACAGGCAAAAACACGTTTGTTTGATTTTATTATACTTTTGTGGAAGGATGAAAGAACACAGCCGGAGCAATTTAACTGACCTTGATCTGGGGCAAAAGCAACACAAGAATGCTCTTAAGTTTGCTGTACCATCCTTTAAAGAACAAGGGAAACTATCAGACCAGCTCTTTCAAGCCCTGCCAACGTTCTGTTAAATGAAACTGAGAATTGTGTTGCTTTTAAGAGAAATTTTGTACTGTATTTGTTACAGGTTTAGTAACTATTTTTGTTAGTAAGTGGTAATGTCATTTCTTAGATGTATTTGTTACTATTTGCTCTTATGTCTCTAAATGAAGAGCTTAAAGCTTTAAAAACTATCCCAAATTGCCTCAAAGTATAAGAAAAGAGCAAAGCTTACACTTAGTCTTATTGAACAGATAATGAACTTGGCAGGCACTATGCACCAAAATAATCTGCTGTGTAATATCCAGACATTAAAAATTACATTGCTGCCACATTTGCTTAGTAAAGTGGAATAAAATCAAGTCAGCACTACTGTACCTTATCCTAATATGACTTCCAATATACTTGACTGTACTGTGAAAAAGAGAAAGGAAAAATTCCTTTTTTATTTTGTTCTGGTGTATTAAGTACACATTTATTTTTACACCTAGAGTATATTAATACTTTGTTTTAAATGTCCTGGTTTTCCTTAAATTATCTAATAGTTTTTGGAGTGCTTTAAGGATGCCTGGAATTAAGACTATAGAAGAAATGGGCTTGTGGGCAGTATATGTCCTCTGCAGTGCTAGGAATTAGAACTGACTGAATATGGTGAAGAAACCGAAAATTTTAAGTAACCCTGTCAAGAATTGCAGGTCTACAAAAAAGTTGAAAAGTCCTAGCAAAACATGGCTAAAATATCTTTTTTTCTTTTATATATATATATATATACACACACAACCTTTTTGAGTGAGATAATAACAGAGCTTCATTTTTAGAAACAATAAGCAACATCTGTTACTGTGTGAGTGCAGCTATATTATTCAGTGGAGCCTGTCATCTTTGTATGACATTGCTCAAGGCACTGCTCATAGTGCAAATATTGGTTTTACTAAACTTTTTTTGCCTAATTGTTTCCTCAAACATTCCTATCCAGTTGCATCATTCCCCAAAAAACAAATCAAGAACCTACTGTGTAAGGTCTGTTGCACAAAATATTTCTGTTGTCCCTTAGGCAGTACCATCCAAAATACACATTTTCTAAGGCTGGTATTCACTGCTTGTTTTCAATCTGGTCCCAAGAGTAAACTTCCTAAGAGCACTGAAAAACCATTACCAGAGCTAGAATTATGTGCAGTAGAATCAGTCTTTTTAATTGTTATAAGCCTTCCACTTCACTGATAGAGCAAATATATCAAGCATATTCACTGTTAGACTAGTTTAGGTGAAAGTCATGCATTTATGAATTAAAGTGGTATCATTTGATGGTTTAATAGCCAGATGGCAGCCACTGCCCTAAACAACTGCCTTCGATTTCTGATGAACATATTTTGCCAATATTGTGGAATATAAAAACGTCTCATCATTATAATACATACAATAATCATAAAGATTTTTCTTTCACATGTATAACAATACCAGTCCTGCCTGGGGATGGAGTATTTCCTGTTTATGAAAATAACAGTACCAAATCTGTCTTCACTGTAACCATAGCAATGGCTGTCCTTACATTAAAACAGCCTGTCTAGCAGCAGAGATATTTTACAGTGCAAAAAACAGGGTCAAAAACTGCAGTGGCACCTGGAGATTAAGAACATACATGATTGTGATACCACAGTCAGGAAGCTCTTTCTGTATCCGATGCTCCATTTTCTGAAATGCAGGTGGAAATCCCATCTTCACCAGTGGTCAAAAGAGCTATTTTTGCTCTCTTGGAAAGAGACTTGTGATTTATCTATTGGTTTTGCTTATTCTACCATTGATATTTACATGCATAATCTTCCAAATTTGTGTGTTACAGAAAATCAGCTAAATTATTCCAGTAGTGACTACATTGCAGTATAAATTGTCTCTCTGAAATTCCTATTTCAGAACGTAATAAAATAACTGTTCTCCTTACGTGAGGCACTTGCAGTTTAGATACCAGACTGGCACTGTGTGTTATTACCCTGCCTTGAATCACTCCTGAAAACCTTCATACAAAAATTCCCACTGTGCTCTCAAACTACGAGCTTCTATTCAGCAATTACATCTTTGCCAGATCAGCTTTTAGTAGCTAGACTTTATACATCAATGCAAGTGTATTTTCTCTGTGAGGCTAACTGAATTTAGGAGCAGTTGCTCCAAGGGTTTTGACAGGAATATACTCAGGACCCGTGCTTGTCTTCCAATTAAATTTACTGATTTCGTTATGGGTATCAAAGCGTTCAGGGATTCATCCAAACTGTTTTACATGTATGAAAGGGAACTGATTTTACAGATGATTTATACATTCTCTGTCCTCAATTGCAGGCCAAAGAGAAATCTGAAAGTCAGATAATCTAATCCTTTCACCATTATTCCAATGGAAAACTCCTTGAAAATTAGTCACTTCCCTTAGTGACTGAGCCTTTTTTAAATAATGAAACCAACACCAACACATAACAAATTAAACTAGTGACACCATTTGGGCATACAGATGGAGCACAGTCATCCTGATCTAATTATGAAATTATAGCGTAAAAGACAAGTGTGTAGTATTTTAGGAGACATATATTCTTAGACTTTTTGATTTACATAACTAGGAGAATTTACAGAATTAAATAGACCAAACCTGTTATTAAAGCATATCACCTGTTATGAAAGCACATCAAAAGAAGTATGTCCAAGCCAGAGATTTATATCCAGAGCCCTTTGCACTGAAACATATAGGACCATCTCATTCCATTACATCTAATCTTACTGCTATGATCCATGTTGTACATTTATACTAATTTACAGTTCTAGTTCACATGAATAGCTATGGAAGACAATGTGGTATTTTAACGCAGAAACGGGGAATAATGAAGAACCTTGCATACAACTTCCAAATGCTGCCTATGAAAAGGTGAAAACCATTTAATAAGCATATAAAAATTAGGTACATTAAGGAAAAAGTGGAGCATGTAAACAAAAGAGTATATTGGTAGCTCCAATAATGGCTGTGTTAAATGGGTAAATCACTCATTCTTCTTTCATAAAAGAAAAAAAGAATTCTTTCATAAGTCTGCAGCTATACCATCTCCTTAAACCTCTTTTATTAGCCTGTGCAAATCTTTATGTGTTTGTTTGGAACAGATCCAAAGAGAAAGTGTACGTATTGATTCACAGCAGGTAGCTGGTTGCCTTCTGAATCAGCGCCAATCCAATGCCACATTTAATAGCCGGAATACTGGGATACCCTTGAATGACTGATATTACAGTGAGAGCCTGACCACAGCTTCAGTAAGAAAACACGTATTTTTTCGGAACAAAGAGCTGTCGCTTGGTAGCTGACCAAATTCTACTGTGGGTGCTTACTTTCTGCCTCCTTTTTCCCTGCATTTCCAAAGACAGTATGACTCTGTGTGCTTGCTATCCCAGAGTACTGTGCTTCCACTGCTCTATTTTTAGCAGCACCAAAAAAACGACTCGCTGTAAATGCTTTGAAATCCATTGAACTGGGAGTTGCGTGTATCTAATTTCACCACATACGGAGGTGGCTTTTGTCTAGTTCAGCAGACAAAATAGCTCAGAATTTTAGATTTTAGGCCTTTTGGCGAGCAGCTCCAGCGGCACCACTAGCAGCTCAGTATATGGCTTCATGGAAGTTGATGGGAATCGCAACATCCCAGTCTTCATGAACAAGGCATTATTTAGCATTTATTTAAGATTATACAACGGGAAGCATACAACTTTCACACACCTCTATATTATCCTCACTATGAACAAAAGAATTCATATAGAGCAAGACATGAACCAAGTAGGGACTTACATCTGTCTAAGCCCCAGCAGAAACACGTACTCACACTGAACCCAGGTCTGCAGCGGCTCACTGAAAAACGCTCTACTACTTAATACCTCCCAGGGCACTACAGAGCCGTCCTGTCTGTCCCCGTACCAGCAGCGGTACAAAAACACAGCCTGTAGACGCCTGTGAACACACTGAACACAGGACCGCGCTCCCGCTGTTCCCTCCCCTCGCAGCGCTGCCGCCGTGCCGGGCCGTGCCGTGCGCGTCCAGCAAAGGCGCCGGGCGGTGCCGCACAGCCCTGCCCCGCCTCCATCCTGAGGGAGCTGGGTGGGCGTGTTTAGGACTCCGTGTCCCAGAGCACAGCCGGAACGGAAAACACAGCTCTTCACCCCGCCTCTCCTCGCAGGGCTGGGCCGGCACCGCCCTCGCCTCCTCCCTGCTCCCAGGGCCGACCTCGGCTGCCGTAGATGAGACCTCCCTGGTGTGTCTGGGTGCGTTCTACCTTTCCCCTCTGCTTTCCTCACGCTTTTTTTTTCCCGCTGCGCTCTCAGCGCCGGCGGCTCACACACCGTGCTGCGGGGTCGGGTCCTCTTCCTTCTGTCCGGGCGAGCGTGGCAAGCGGGGCCTGAGCCTGGCCTTGGCTTGCGGGGAAAACCGAAACCGAATGCGGTCTGAAATGACGTCCTTAGAAATTTGAGTGGAAAACTGCATAAACCACGTCTAGTTGTTGTTTTGTGTGTGTGTGGGGATGGGGGCGGGTGTTGTTAGTAGGAGTGGGGCGTTAAAAGGAGTGCATATCTAAAAAACTTAGCTCGGGCACTACTAGTTTACGCCGTGAGAAAACTATTTCAGCCTAACAGAATAATAAGGAATGTGCAAGTTCCCGAGGAAATTCCCTGTTTTTCCGAAGTACCTTGCACAAGTCCAAGGGCATAGGGCGATGAGGAAGTAGGGAGGCGTGAAAGCTGTGGAGCACGCTCTGCAGCTTTGAAAAATGCGAGCTGGCAGCGGCTGGGAGGGCAGCCCTTCCTCCGCCCTCGCTGTTCACACAAAGGAGCAGAGCGGAGGAGCCTCAGAGCGCACCCAGCACAGCCCGGCACCAGCTCACCTCCTGCTCGCCTCCTAGCGTGGGGTATTCCACGTGGACTCATCCTGGGAAACAAGGATCATTTTCCACGTCGGCCGCACCCACTGGGGTTATGTCCTGGTTTTGTCGCCGGAAGGGTGACTGTGAAACGTTCGAGATACAAAATGGCAAGCAGGGAGTTAGCTGGAGCCTTTTGCATCTTTGTGTGTGAAGTTTTAGTATGATGTTATTTACTGCTCCTTGCAAGGGCGTTAAAAAAAAAAAAAAAAACAAAAACAAAACCAACTTTGATTACACATGAGCGTGAAGGCACAAATTATTGGGGCAGCTTTATCTCCGAGTATGAACTTTTTTATTTTGTCTTAGAAGACAAGTTGTTTTTTTGATCCTCTTTGTAGAGAATCTACATTCAGTGTACGTCCTGTTGCAGTGCCCGGGTAATCTAAATAAAAAGCCAGACTGCTGGGTTTTATGTTGCCATTGCTTTCGCTTTTTCTTTAATTATTGCGGCTATCATAACTGTGTCTGTGAGGTTTGAAAGAGTCATCAGATGGCCCTTTCATCTCTTCGAGTGAAGTGGATCTGGCTCAGATAAAAGCACATGGAATGCATGGGCTTGCCCATAGTTCTGTGACATACCTGCTATCAAAATATGGGCACATGGTTTTTGGTTGCAGAGTTATAAATTGGTTTAGTTTATACTGAAACCTTACTTCATGTTGCTCGTACTCATTCTGCACACAGTACCCAGTGAACGTTATTGGCAAGTCACTGTGTGTGCATAGTTGTTTTTCCTTTTATTTAGAGCGTGGTTCCTGGTCCAGAAGAACACATGATCCCACATAATTTTTCTTTTGTTCCCCCACACACACACATAAAATTAGGAAATAGGCCCCCCACAATAAATTTTGGTCTTGATTCTTGTCCAACAGAGTTGATGTAATAAGCTGTTGATGGACCATCAGTGGAAAATACTGGATGGAAACCAGTGTGTGCTGAATCTGGATCAGTGATTTGGCGATGGTCACACGCCAGTCTTCCAATGTTTTTGTGGACAGACATGCACTTAGGTAAGACAGTTTGAGCACTGAAGATATAATTAGCATTTTTTATAATGAACATGTGATTTACCTTATATAAAGGAAGTTCACGAAGTAAGTCATTTATGTGTGTGTTTTAAAGGCAGATTATTTTAAAAGTAACATATAAATAGTAATTTTGCATGTATGAAGTTTCAGCTCTGTAGGAGATTACCACACACACACTCCTTCTTTTTTTAACTAGTTTTAAAAGACTAGATAAAAATCAACTGAAATAGTTAAAAAGTTTTTGTGAGATTTCTGAAAATGGCCAGAAGTTGTTAAATTCCTGCTTGCTTTAGAGTGAGTCATACGTAAAACTTCCTCAAGTCCTTTTGAAAGTCCCAGCTGTGTTAGGGAGATACTTTCATATGAAAGTGTTTTCTGTGTCCCCTTTCTTGACTGCATTATGGCATGAAAACAGTCTGTGTCTTTCTGTAGAATTCTCACCAATGTTTGATGCTACATTAAAAATAAGTTAGCAACTAATATGCTTTTTTTTCTGATAGAACATTCTTCAAAACACTTTAGAATGTATGAGGAGTTCCTCTGCTTATCCTCTGATACCCTCTTTAAGTGGGTGGTGACACCCAGTCCATGGGTTTAACCATATCTGTTTCTTACTTCCTTTCTGAGGAAAGGCAAGGAGATTTGTGGAGTTATTTTTCATTTAAACAGAACTTGGGGCGGGGTGTGCTTGTAGGCTAGTTTATCTCATCTGCTTCATTTATGAACACAATATATGACACTGTTGCTTGTAACTTCCAGAAGTGTAACAAAAGGCTGAAGGTGATTTTAAAAAGTCTTCCTCAGGGGCTAGAATCTTTGATATGTTAGACTTTAAAGTTGTATTGGCTTTCGCTTTCCTGTATGGTTTAAACAAAACTATGCGGTTTAGTGATCAAACACCTTTTAAGGACTGAGATTTGTCTTCAGGTTGCTCATCTCACCTTTCTCCATGTGTGTAATGGAGAACAGAGGAGGCTACACAGAATTTCCAGAATTGGTGGCAGTGGAAATGGAGCATAGCAGCCTACTGATTTTGTTAATCACAAGGCTGGGGGTTTTTCTAGGGTGGAGTTTTTATTTCAGTTTTCAGTATGGTGACACATGAACGTTACACGAAGAAAAAGACAGTCTGTGGCTTATCTATACCTTCGGAGTTAACCAATTTGCATATTGAAGGTTAGAATTTTTTCTCTGGGTGGTTCTTCAGTCTTTTTGAGCATGGAAGGTGTGTATGGAGAATCCTTAAAACCCCAGTAACTCGTTCAGATTGGAATCACTTTAAATGATGGTAATAAGTAAGAAAGTCCACACACTCGTCTATTTACAGCTAATTAGTGTTTTAAAACATTACATGTTATATTATGAATATTTCCGTAATTTTTACTTCGTTGAAGACCAAGCGCATGCCTGGTAGCAGTGGTTTTAAATGTGGGGGTTTTTTTCATTCTTTCATCTACTGTATATGATTGTGCTACCTTTTAGCTCCAAAAGCTTCCTGAAAAATGGCTTGAGACTTTTAGAGGAGAAAAGGTAGTGAGTGATGAGCAGAGGGGTGGAGGGTTTCTGGGAAGAGGTCAGAGCTTTCAGAAATACTTGAAGTACCACTCATCAGCAAGATGATGACTTCTGTTTCACTTCCTATGGAATTTACAGATTGGTATTAAGGTAATTCACTTTAAAAAGAACTCGCATGTCTTTCTGATTAGTATGATCTACCAAGTACTTTTAGTTCTGTGATGAACAGATTGGAGAGTCCCTTGAGCACAGGAGGTCTGTGAAAAGTAAGTTGGAGTTTTAGTTGAAAGCAAAATACTTCAATTAGGAGAGTTGACTGTGAACTTATACAGCAGATCCCTGACTTACTAACTTTTAATTCTCTCCCACAGAACTGCTCTTATAAAAATGCACCTAGTTAAGAATGAACACCAGAGAAGTGCTGCGATAGACATGGGCTTCATGTCACGTTGGTTTCCCGTTTAAAACCAGTAGGCTGGCAATTTTAAAGGCACAGCAGCAAAGTGATGGCCATGTGCCAAGTGCCAGCTGCCCTTATTCACCAGATTCAAGAAGAACTGGATAAAGAAGAAGAAGAGATGATGGTTTTCCTGTGCCGAGACCTTGCTCCTGACTTGGCCACTGCTGATCTTAGAGAGATCTTGGCAGCTTTGAATGAGAGGGAGAAACTCTCTCCTGTTGGCTTGTCTGAGCTGCTGTACAGAGTTAAGAGGTTTGACTTGCTGAGGAGAATCTTGAACACTGAGAAAGCGACGGTGGAAGTTCACCTTGCCAGGAGTCTCAGACTTATCCCTGATTACAGGTAATATATCTGTTTCAGATTTCAAAGCTATGCTATCTTGTTCAAAGTAAATGCAGGGGTTTTCTTAGTTTTGGAGAGGGATGGGAGGGTTGGTTTTTTATTTATTTTTTTCAAAAGTTATTAAAGGTAAAAGCAGAAAAGAGCATGATATCTAGAATTATAGTGAAAAGAATATGTCAAGTTTAGTCCCTAAATTAAACCTTAGTAATTTCTCACAAGTCATGGCATTAGAAGCATCTGTGTTTCAGGATATGTTAGTCAATAAAACCAATGATGTAGAATCCTGGATTAGCAGATGAAAATGGCACTTTAAGGGGACATTGTTAGTTAGAGATATTTTCTAGTTTGCTTTGGTCACATAGCCATGTGGTACAGCTTTTCTCAAGGGACTTCTCTTACTACTTTTTTACTCTATTAGTTTTGAGAGGCTAAAATTAAGAAGTTCCGGTTATTTTATTTGAGAGACTTCAGAAAGAAATACAGGTAGTCACAAGGAAAAATAAAAACCTTGTGACTAATAGGTAAAAAAGTTAAAGATGTGTTCTGTTGTCTCATTCTCTGTTGAAACATTAAGGAGGCACTTGTTTTCCTAACAGTGGCTATTACACAGTCAGTGTGAATAACGCAGCTGCTAATTAGCAAGAGTAGGATCTTGTAGCAGAGTAGGGTTTTTTTGCCTGTTTATTTGTTAGAAATTATACATTAAGACTGGAACATGGGAGAAGTTGAGTAGTTGGGCAGGGGAGGGGTCTTGCTTCAAGCTAATCCTTTAGAAATATCTCAACTTTTTTTCAGGGTACTAATGGTGGAGATAAATGAGAATCTGGAAAAAGAGGAAGTGGGTTCTCTTGTGTTTCTGCTCAGAGATTATACACCTCGGATGAAAATGGCAAAAGATAAGGTATGTTTTTCTGGTGTTCTGCCCTGGAGCAATGAGAGATCAAAGCAAAAAGGCAAGTAGCTAGAGATCAAAGCAGAGGAGACAGTGCTGCAAGGGGTGGCAAGGCAGGAGTAGAAAGACATCAGAAAATGGATACAGAGTAGTGGCTTCTATTTCATTTTGTTG